TTCCTTCCTTCCTTCCTTCCTTCCTTCCTTCCTTCCTTCCTTCCTTCTCTCTCTCTCTCACATACATACACACACACACACACACACACCTGGTCTGACAGGGACAGCGTGAGAAGACAGAAAGCGAGCGATGGGGCGGCAGCTGGACTTGGTTTGTTTATTTTGTTTCCCAGCAGTTACGGCAGCGGCCACATTCCAAGAGGGCAGGGTGGGCGGATATACCAGGACTGCCACTGCTGCATGTGTGCACCTCTGCCACCCCCTCAGCCTCAGAGCAGCAGAGATGCCCCTCAAGGGCCGCACGCCCACCCCAGTGGTGGGATTAAAAAATTTTTACTACCAGTTCTGTGGGTGTGGCTTGGTGGGCGTGGCTTGGTGGGCATAGCAGGAGAAGGATACTGTAAAATCCCCATTCTCTCCCCACCCCACTAACCTGCTTTCTAGTTCCATTCTCCTGTGCAGGGCAACAAAAGAAGACCCAGCCGATCAGCTGGAACTCGGGACGCAGGGAATAGATGGGGATGGGGCCAGTCAAAAGTGGTATTCCAAACTACTCAAAATTTCCACTACCAGTTCTCCAAACTACTCAAAATTTCCACTACCGGTTCTCCAGAACTGGTCAGAACCTGCTGAATGCCACCTCTGACACAGACTCTTTTAGGTGTTTGTTGATTCTGTATTCCTGTAGGAGAGAGAAAGAGAGAGAGAATCAGATTCTCAAGCAGCTGCTATAGCCCACATATTGCCTCCTTTTCTGGTTCTCTGGAAGTTTTCCTGGTTTGGTTCCAGAATCATTTGTTTTCATTCTCACTTTCTCCTCTTAATAAAATATATGCTCCTCCACAGTGATATTGATTGTAGCCAGGATAAATGGCGCACCATTCAGGCTATTGCAGTGCTGCCACTGAACTTACCTTCCGTAAATAATTTTAACTGTTGAAATTTTCTGGTGACATGAGCTATTATACTGAGAAATAAAAGGTTTAAAAATGGTTTTAAAAATGATCATGGAGATAAGGGGCTCTGCTTGTATTAAGGACAGCTCCTGCTGGTACCCAGACCAGCTTTCTTTGTTATAAATTTTCCCCTTCTATTTTTTCTTATTTTTGTTCCCTCCCCTCCCCTCCTCACTTTTAATCCAGGCTAGTCTTCATCCAGAGAAGCTCCTGGGTGCCTGGGATTGTTAAACAGGAAAGATCTGTAGAGAGATTTTACAAGGGGAGTTAACAAGCCAGGCTATAAGCGACATTGACAGAAGGGGAGTATCCCTTGTGCCCTACAAAATGTATGAAACATTTGGTGTGTTGTTTTTTTTCTGAAGCAGACTCAAGCTACACTTGCTGCAAGTGCAACTTTTGTTCCATCCTTGGAAGAAAAGAGAAAGGAACTTGAGAAAAAGGTTTCTACCCTGAAATATATCAGAGAAGGAAAGAGGTTCCTGAATGGAATAGCTGAAGCTCTCCAGAAATGGCGGACAAATGAAAACAGCACCAAAGAACAAAAATAACTCCTTTGGCAGAGGCAAACACAAAAAAGCAAGAGAATCAGGAAGCACCTTCCCAGAACATTGTAGAAGAAACCTGGGCCTCCATCAATCACATACACTCAAGAGCCATACTGTGAAGGTGGCCTGCCATGAAGCTCTAGTTTGGAGACTAGTATTTGGTGGTGTGCTCTAGGGCTTTCTCCTGTGCTCCTGGGCCATCCAACCTTTTTTATTAATGACATAGAGGGAATACCCTCTTTTTTTGTATTAAATATCTAAGTCAGCCAGTTCCATTACAACTCTGGGCATTGTACAATTTAAGCAATCCACACAATATAAAAAGATCACCTGGAGAAAACAGCCATTGTTTTACCACAAGGGGGTTAGGAAAAGGGTGTGGCAAAAGAGTCATTTAAGTAAGCTCAAGGTGAAGCCATATGAGTGTCAACTCATAAAATATTTCTATGGTCTTTTTAGAGTTGCCAACAGAAAGGGAGGGGGGAGCAGTGGGCAGCTTGCATTCCATAAATGTTTTCAAAGATAGTTTCTAGGTGACCGAAGTTTCTGCCGTGCAAAATTCTAACTGGAGAGTATGATTGATGACTCTTGGCTATGGATGTGTCCCATTGGAGAATATGAATTATGATACACCCGGGGGTGGGGGAAAACCAGGGTCAAGGGTGACCATGAATGATGTGTCTCAGAGTTGGCTATACCCAGGCAGTGCCGGCATATTTACTCCTAATAAATCTTTAAGTTTTGGAAGTTCGAAACTCATGATTTAAATGGGGATAACTGCCGGAGCCCTGACAGCGAGTTTA